GGTGTGGGGGGCCGCGGCAGCCGCGCTTGGCGGTGGCGGGCGGTGCTGAGAGGGCCGCAGACCTCGCGACGCGTGCTCCCAGTGTTTCTGCTTATCCACAGAGCACCTCCGTTCCTGTAGGGACTTGAGCTCTGGGCCCGTCAGTCTTCGCGGGTCAGACTTCACATGGGAAATGCTGACATGCTCCAGCCCTGCGTGCCTGGGCTCCCCGGGCCTGCTTCAGGTTGAGTGCTAGTTGGGGAATAATTTCATGGTTTTATGAAATGAGGCATTTTGTCAGAAATTTCAGGGTGAACTCTCCAAGAATTAAAAACATATTTTTGTTTTATTTCTAGGCAAAATACTTTTACATCACGCCTGGGATCTGTCCGAGCCTTTCGACCATGAAGGCGATCGTGGAGTGCGCCGGGGGGAAAGTGCTGGCCAAGCAGCCGTCCTTCCGCAAGCTCCTGGAGCACAGGCAGAGCAAGGTGGGAGGGCGGCGCCGGGGACGCGCGGGCAGCGGGCCGCAGCCACTGACGGGCCCTTGCTTTCTCCTAGAGCTTGTCGGAGATCATTTTAATATCCTGTGAGAACGACCTTCATCTGTGTCGAGAGTATTTTGCCAGAGGCATAGGTACGGCCTGCCGCCCCCGCCGTCCTGGTGGCATGTGTGTGTGTGTATGGCGTGCCGCCCCCACTGCCCGTCTGCAGTGCATGTGTGCGTGTACGGCCTGCCACCCCTGCCATCCATCGTCTGTGCATGAGTGCGTGTACGGCGTGTCCCTGCTGTCCATCCTCTGCGCGTGTGTGCATGTACAGCATGCTGCCCCCGCCATCTGTCCACGGTATGCGTGAGTGTGTGTACAACATGCTGCCCCGCCATCCATCCTCTGTGCACGTGTGTGCATGTACAGCATGTCCCCACTGTCCATCCTCTGCGTGTGTGTGTGTATGGCGTGTTCCCCTCACTGTCTGTCCTCTGTGTGTGTGTATGCGTGTACGGCGTGTTCCCCTGCCGTCTGTCCTCTGTGCACGTGTGCGTATAGAGCGTGCCACCCTTGCCGTGTCCGCTGTGTGTGCGTGCAGCGGTGCGTGGCGTGATGACAGCGTGCTCTCCTCCTCCAGATGTCCACAACGCGGAGTTCGTCCTCACTGGAGTGCTGACACAGACCCTGGACTATGAATCATATCCTTTTT